GATAAACATAGACATAGTGCATGCTGGAAGATCAAGATGAGCAAGTCATGTCTGTTGATAGGGGCAGTGTATGCCTAAGCACACTTTACCCTTTAGACCAGGGGTGGGCAAATTCCAGACTGCAGGGTTAGTCCCTGGAGGGCCCCCACATTTATGTTTACCTGCACGTATCAGACAATCGCAGCTCTTGTTGACTGCAAATTGTCGTTCACAGCCAATGTGAGTGACGGGAAGTGGGGTCCCGGTCCACACCACTCCCTGCCCATTTGCACTGCCCAGCAATGACAATATGGAGCCAATGAAAGCTGCAATCAACCAATACCGGCAGAAGCACAGGTAAACATAGAGGTGGGGGACTACCAGGGACTAACTCTGGCAGGCTGTCATTTTTTTATTGCTCACCCCTGCTTTAGACCTCCTGAGGGCCTTGTTCATGGTCCAAATTCACTAGCTAGGAAGAATCAATTAACGCTTGGAACATTATTATGAAGCTGATATTAAGGATCAAAGCTGAGGAGACAGCTCTGGAAAGATCAATTGGAAAGAAATCTGAAAAAAATGAACGTCTTTAGGCAATCTCTTATTTCTCTGGCTCAAACTTTTTCCATATTAAAACCATCACCTTTCCTTAGGCTAATTTCACATCTTACCCCATTGTAGGTGGGAGTTGCTTGGTTACATAAAAAGTTATATTAAGAGAGGATGAAAATAAACTCTCTAATGTGATGGATGTGATTGCTGGGTTACATTTTCTCATTAGTATTTCTGAGGCTTGTTTCCTCAGGTTAATACTTCCAAGCCTCTCTTCATTGCTAGCTTGCCCCATTCTGCTCTCTAGATCACTTAACCATCAATGTTCTTCTCTTGTATTTGCTACCATTCCAACTCGTGACTCACCCACATATTTGACCACAAATTAACTTACATTTGAAAATGTATTTTACTTCTTGTTTCACTTCTGTCCCTTATTTTTTATCAGTTAAGTCATCTTTGCAAACCTATTAGAGCAAAGGTTACTCCTATTGACTTCAGGGAGAAACACTTAGCATGTAATGCATTCCACTATAGGAAAGGAAAACCAAGAGAAATACCTGACCAAGTAGTGCATACTCAGAAAGGAAGTTAGGTTTGTTTTAATTCCAGGCAGTCAAAAGAGATATCCTCAGAAATCAAAATACCAAACTAAACAGATGACAAAATCAGTTGCAACGGGACCATTTTTACATTTAATCAACAGTTGATGCTGCCTGAGAGACAGAGGTAAAAATATAAATGGGACCTGCACTCCTTCTCTACCACAGGTTTCCAGCACTCAGGTCTCTAAAGAATTGGGCAGGAAACACAAACTGCTCTCTCCTTCCAAAAGTTTCTTCCTGTGGACTGAGCCTGTACCTAATCCTATACCATTTCCTACTGATTTTTCATTCTTTCTGAGGTGTTCACACACAGTTCTACTTTTCTTGGACTCTTCTTCAGTTGGCCACAGACTGCCTGTTTCTCTCCTAGTGTAACCCACACACCCACTGGGTGTGGTTCACTGTCCCATGGAATGGCACCCAGACCACTTACAGAGAGAATGAGTCAGTGTGCTCTATAGCCATAGGTGGCTTTTAGTTCAAACTATAGCAGCGCATGCACCAAGCTCTGAGAGGTCCTGTGTTCAAATCCCAGACTTGTAACAACAAAAACTGAACTTAGGACCTCTGGAGCTTAGTTGAGCATGTACTACTTGACCTAAAAACCATCTGCCTCTTAACTAAGGCTGTAGACCAAACTCATTCTTTATAAGTGGTCTAAGTGCCACTCCACGGGACAATAGGGATGTGTCTATTCTGCAGTGCGAGCTCGAATTAAGATATGCAATTTGAGCTACCAAATTGCGTACCTTATTTCAAGTTTATTTCGAGATAGTCTATTTCAAAATTTGGCACTGTCTACACAGTGCCAAATTTCAAAATAAAGCGCTATTACGACAAGTCCTTTAATCCTTGTGGAATGAGATTTATCGAGATGTTGGAATAGTACGCCCATTATTTTGATTACATTTCGAAATAAGGGGTGCACTGTCAAGATAACATAAAACACTATTTTGGGTTATCTGAAGTATCCTGAAATAGTGCTGCAGTGTAGATGTACCCTAGGTGTGTGAGTTACACTAGCAGGAGCATAGTGATAGAAATGTAGCAGGGGCAGTAAGTTCATTTCCATGTTATATTGTGACTTGCTGCTGTGCAAGCTTCGTTCTGTGTCTTCCTCCACATCCCACTTGTGCAGAGAGCCAGTAGGGGTTGGACATTTCAGTTTTTAAAAAACTCGGTTGCTCTTGTTTTGAAGTAGGGATTGCTGGCTGAGGTTGTGTGGCCTCTGTTACGTAGGTCGGATGTTAGGATCATTATGGTCTCTAACTCTTGAAGCCAATATCTGGTCTTAAACAGATCTGGCATTACTTAGTTCGCGTGACTATATGGGATATAAAATTACAGACAAAGACAATATGCTCCTGTGTTTGTGCCTAGAGCCTTCCAAGGCGATAATGAAGTACCCAGAATTAGATAAAACAACCGAAAGGGCATCTCAAACTGGCATGCAGAACTGCGGGATATGGATAGTTGCTCTGCCCCGGGCTTCCTGGAATCAGCTGCTGATCAGTTTCAGCAGCAGCTGACTTGGGGACGCCTGGGGTTCTTAAGTTGATTCTGTATGTAAGTCAGAACTGGCGGTCAGTTTCAGCAGTGTCTGAATCTGGACGCCAGTTCCGACTTACATACAGATTCAACTTAAGAACAAACCTACAGTCCCTATCTTGTACGTAACCCGGGGACTGCCTGTAGTTAATTTTGAAGTAACTACTGGCTGCACAAGCTGATGCAAAGCCTAGAGCTGACTCGACCCTGGAACTTCGTGTCAAATGTCAAACCATCTGTCCCCAGAACCTGGTGCCACCGGAGGCAATGAAAATTACTCCAGGAGCCAATAAAGGAAAAGAAAAGGGTTTTATAACGTTTGGAAATGGAACTGTGCCATACAAAAAAAACCTATACTGCTGCCCTGACAACCCACATTGTGACACAGATGTCAGTGCGCTGCTGGACCAACTCATCCAGCAGCCTGGTGCGCCACTCAGCCTTTGCCTGCGTCCTCTGCTGGAGGGGCCTG